TTTACATTTTTATTTCAATGTAGTAATTAGCAATTCATTTAATTTTATATTTGAACAGATTTGTTACGTGACCGCATTAATTAAAGTTTCTTAAGGGTCAAGATCATGTTATCTGCATCTCCTGCGCTCCATCCAGCCACTCCCATAACATCTGTCACCACTCAAATTAATGCACAACTCTACATTATCTCTATAGCATGTGTGTAAGACTCGAATACAATTATGAAGTTATTATTTTATGACGAATAAATCTCTCAGTGAGTAAAACTGGCTGTCTCTATAGTATTAAAGACTACACAACATTATTATATTATCTTTAAATTAATTTTTAAATGATTATTATTTTAAATTATTGTCCCTGGATTAGTAGGGTACTCTTGTAATAAAGTAGCGTTGGTAACAAACAGATTTTAAGTATCAATTCTGCTTAAAAAGATGCCATCTAATCCTGTTTACATGAAATAAGCCTGCTCCCGAGCAGGTTTAAGTTTACAGACCTGTTGCTATGACAGCAACTCTGGGATGAGCTTCGAAGAACCAAACAATCCAAGATCATGCCAAATCGTCAACAATCAAATCCAGCTAACGGAGTTAGCGACGTACGAAGAACGGGCCCCAGGTCTTTATTAATTGAGACACTGACTCATTCATTGAATTTTTTCTTTTTTTCAAATTAATATATTTTTTAAAGACTTAAGCAATGAACATTTTGTCAGAGCCACTAGTAAATTGTTATTTTGTTTAGTTTTCTAATCTTTTTTTCTTCAGAATCGTGAGAGAATCGTGATCTCTCAATTTATCCAGAATCGTGCAGCTCTAGTTTACATGTTGTTTATTGCTGTATATAATTAATTAAAATAGAAGTTTAATTTCATAAAGCACAAGTTGTTTTCAAAATGCACCTACATTTTTTTTGCATTTTGTGTTTTTCACTGGAGTAAAAGACTATTTTTCCCTAAATATTTCATCATTGAGGATTTCTTTAAAAAAGTCTAAAAATCTCGTCTCGTTCTCGTGAACCCAGTCTCGTGTCTCGTCTCGTGGGATAAGTGTCTCGTCACACCCCTATTAATAATGGTTCTAATTTGTCTATGTTAGGGAGTTTTTGCTGCTTAGTATTTTTGTGGGAATTGTGGCACATTTTTAAGGATTCTTTGAACAAATTCAAAAGAACAGCCTTTATTGAAAATATTAAGCAGCAAAAACTATTTTTTACATTAATAATTAGAAATGTTTCTTGATCACTAAATCAGCATATATTAGAATGATTTCTGAAGGATCATGTGACACTAAAGACTGGAATAATGACTCTGAAAATTTTGCTTTGCATCACAGGAAAAAAATATACTTAATACAAAGGTGTTCTTTTTTTTAATAATATTTCACAGTATTACTTTTTTTTTTTTTTTTTCAGAAATTCATAGTTTCAAATTGTTCTTTTTTTTTATTTTTTTATTTTTTTTTTATATTGGTATTTATGATTACCATTTGTCCTCTCAGGCCCTTACAGCCCTGTTGAAGTCACTCCAGCCAAAAGTTCTGGATCCGAGAGGGCTGTCTCTCTAGCTTCACCCCAGCCTGCTGCTTGCGCCCCTACGGGTGCTGATTTACCCCTGCCATCAAACACATCTGCACCTTCGGCCAAAGTCAGCAGCCCCAAAATGCCCTCGTCTATCCAGCAGTGGATCAGCCGCGGTACATCTCCTCTTCGTAAGGTGCTCACACCTGTCCTCCAGGGCCCTTCCTCTGAACGCCACGCAAAGCGCCGACTGGAAACAGGTGATGGGTCTGGTTTGGGAGAGGAGAGTGACGGGGTGTCTGAACTGTATCCCGACGTAAAGAGGAGCAGGAGTTCAGTAAGCGCACAGAATGAGAAAGGTGATCTATTCAGTTTGCAAACAGAGGAGAGGCTCAGCTCGGCTGGACAAGCTGGCACTGGCAAAGAGAACAGCTCTCCGAGGAGGACTGATTGGCTTTCTGTGATCAGCCAGAGATTTAAAGGATCAGCTCAACCAAAAAGCCCCAACGGCGGCAGCAAACGACACGATGCAAGAACACACAGCTCTCCAGTGAGTAGATGCATGGAAATCTATATAGATTTTTTTTTTTTAAATCAATAGAGTTGTAAGCCATTGACCAAACCAACTCTGAGATGATATAAAATGCAAAAATTATTTAAGATTTATTTTATAAATGTAAAAAAACAAATATACACTACTGTTCAAAAGTTTGGGGATCTTTTTAAATTAATAATTTTATTCAGGAAGGAGTCATTACATTGATCAAAAGTGACAGTAAAGACATTTATAATGTTAGAAAATTAAAATAAATATAAAGTTTTTTTTCCCCATAAAATCATCATATTAGAATGATTTCTGAAGGATCATGCGACACTGAAGATTGGAGTCATGATGCAAAAAATTCAGCTTTGATCACAGGAATAAATTACATTTTAAAACTTTTTTTTTTTTTTTTTTTGTAATATTTGTCTGTTTGTACTTTCGAAACATGTCTGTTACGTCAATATTCCCTAGTAAAAAAATGCCATGGTTTATTTAAAATACATTTATTTCATACTAAGTATACTTAAAATCCATTAACATTTATTGACATCACTTACTGATATAATACTATAATTCAGCTTTATTTGGAGTATTCTTTATTGCACAATGCACATTTCCTAATATTATGTCTAAAATGTTTTAATATCACTATTAATTAGGATTGTATGATCTTTGAATAATATCAGTCTTTAAATGCAAGATATTTAAATACTACCTGAAGTATACATGCAATAGTTTCACTTTAGCACAATCAAATATACTGGAGCATATCTTTAGTTGGACTCCAGCACTACTTTGGCACAATTTAGCAGTCTTTAAATATACCAGTTTAGTATACCAAAAGTAAAATTGCAGGTTATTTTTAGTAAGCACATAAATAAGTAAATATATTTGTAGTATACTTGGCACAAAATAAATGTATTTCAAATACGTTTTAATATTTTCTTTCCACTAGGGACTCCTTTGTTATTCATTTAGTAGTTCTCTAAAAATTAGTTGTGTTTTTTTCTTTTTCTTTTTAGGCAGCAGTCTCACCATGTCCAATAAGAGTTGTCTCTTCACCGCCAACCAAGAAAGCATCACCATCCAGACCCATGAAAAAAATCTCTTGCTACTTTGTGAAAAGAACCCAAGACTGATCATTGTGTGGCAAGATATCCGAGTCTGTCTCAATATGACACATCTATGGTTTAAGTTCAGGTCCAGTTTTTTTTTTGCGACCAAGCTTATGTATTTATGTATGTGATGTGTATATATTCTTTTTATCGAATTGTTTTTAAATATGTATAAGTTTCAAAAAGGGTCATATTGATGATCGTTTCGGTAAACGTTACGAAACTAGATGAAGTCATTCGACAACGCAATTAAACTCTACAAGTTTTCTGAAGCTTCCACGTCTATCTGTAATGCATTGAACATAGTTTAATAGTAAAGTAACTGCATTTCTATCAAATTCTAGGTCAATCTTAAGAGCATAGTGTCTGTGCTTTCATATTTTTATTTTGACTTTCCAAAACTGTGATTGACCTTTCAGCTTGTCTGACCCTGAACGTGGGTCACATTTTCAGAGTTCTTTATTGATTGTAAAGCAGCACTTTGCATAACAAATCCATTTTCAGTTAGCTCGGTGCTTTTTAGTTATTGATCATCTATAGTGCAGTGAGTTTTGCAATGATTTAAACACTTTTTACGTTCTACGTGACATGGGCTGTTTCTTAAGTTTGCAGGTTTGTCTGGAATGTGATTTGACCTGATTGTCTGGCTTCCGTGTTTTGATCCTGCTTGTTCTTGTCTTGCTTGTGTTTTTTGCCTCAGGTGTTTAGCATGGTTGGTCAAAATTATTTTACTTTTGGATTCGAGAAGTTCAGTTTTAGCTATAATAACCCATTTTAAATCAAAATATGCAATTCTGTGTACTTAATTGGTTAACCTAGAAATGAAAATGGTCATTTCAAACCCATATGACTTTTTTTCTCTGTGATGGAGTTATGTAAAATGACACCCAAAGTCATGGAAAAAACGATGCATGAACTGACGCGGTCAAATCACTATAATTCATCTATTTTTGTGTTCCAAAGAAGAAATTGAGGCATATAGGTTTGGAACGGGCTGAGCTTTGAGCAGTTAGTTTTATTTCGCATTTTTGGGGATGAACCCGACTCATTTGACCGGCTACAAGTCTCGCAAACTCTTACTGTGTTTAAGCGCACTGTTATTTGGTGATTTCTCGTTGATATTTTGTTCTTACATGTGCACGTTTTGTGTATTTGTTCTTTTGAGTGGTTCAGCGTTTGTGAACATTTGTTGCCCGTGTTCATTTGAGTTCAAGGATACGCCATCTCTGGCTTTGTATATTTCCCGAAATACCATTAAAACGAGAATCTGATTGGTCAAGGGGCGGAGCTTACTGTCTGCGCGGACGCTCATTGGATGAGTGTTCTGTCACTCAGGCGCGCCACGGGGTTTTATTTTTAGACCCCAGCGAGGCGCAACAGCAGCTGAATGAAGTTCAGCGGATCCGAGGAATTTCACGGCGGATTCACGTTATACTCTTTCCTCGCGTCGCCGATACATGGAGCCAGTTCCAAGCGGCTGGTTCACCGTGACTCGCTGTGTGTCGGCTGACTTTGAGTTGTGTTACGTGGAGTAACGGGTTTAATAAGGCGCGCTTGTTGAAACATTTCGGCATGATAAAAACCTAACGTTACTATTAACTACGTTTTTGCAGTCATACTTGACCAAATTGTCATCGCAGGATACCTGTGGGTTGTTAGAGAACATGCAGCCTTCATGAGTGGCTTCACAGTGCGTGTCATTAGATGGGGTCTTGTGAGTTTAATAAACAGCACAGTCAATGGGACGTCAGTCAGACTAGAAAACATATAGGACGCATCCAGTCACTGTAAACGCAGCTCGTTGGATAGACCTGCTTTGGAAATGTCGGCGATATCTGCGTCCGAGAAAGTGGATGGATTCACGCGGAAATCGGTGAGGAAGGCTCAGAGGCAGAGGGGTTGTCAGGGCTCGTCTCAGTTCGCGGCGAGCAGCAGCAGGCCTGCGGCTCCGGAGATCTCTGCGCTCCCGCAGCTCAAAGGTAAGCGGATAAAGATAAAGCGCTGGAAATAGACTCGCAGGCTGCGTCTAATAAACCTAGTGCCCTGCTTACCTAGACAGCATTGGGGTAGCTCGGGCGCCTGAGTTCCCAGAATGCTATAAAGTAATAAATACAACAAATACACTCAAATAAATGGCACCTCAATTGTTATATGAGTGTAATCTGGCTCTGGAGTTCTATATGTGCATCTTTGATAAGCCACGAGTGAATTATTTACAGCAGGCCTATAACTGTCTGCTGGGAAACTCATGGATTGTGTGTGTGTAGACTGTGTAAACACTGATTGTGTCAACATTATGTCTCAGAGCTTTGTCAAGGGAAGTATCTCTATTTCACGTCCACCCTGTGTTTTCCCACATCTCATGTCATCTTTTTGTGTTTTTGGAAGTCACGTGGTTGTCAATTCTGTAAATCTGTCAATAGAGTGCAACAGTGCCCACCCACTTTTTCAGTGGCCTTGGTTCCTCAAGTGTCTTTCCTATTGGGATTTTTAAAAAAAAGAAGTCCCAGTTAAAGAGTTATAAGCCATGAACCGAACCAACTAGTAACAACCGCTATGAATTTCTTTCTTTTAAAGAATGCCAAACATTTTTGGTTCCCATTGCCTTCCATTGTATTTCTTGTCCATACAGTGGATGTCAAATGGAACCAAGATGCTCCTATTATTGGGAAATACCATCATCTTTGGCTCTAAATTGGGTGTCCAATCCTGCTCCTGTAGGGCCACTGTGCTGCAAAGTTTAGCTCCAACCTCAATTAAACACACCTGAACCAGCTAACCAAGATCTTACTAGGCACACTAGAAACTTCCAGGCAGGTGTGTTGAGGAAAGTTGGAGCTAAACTCAGCAGGACAGTGGCCCTCCAGGACCGAGTTTGGACACCCCTAGGGTTTCACAAACGTCAGTCATTTAAAACAAAGAACATGCATATTTCACTTTCATGCGAAGAGCACAAAATTCTTACAATATATGAGTCGGGTCTTTTCAATCAGTTGGTTGAACTGGTTCACAAAATCTCCATCACAAGCAGTTCTCAGTTCAACTGCTGGCTGACTCACTCAGCCGAAAACTGGCTCTTTAGAGGAAATCTAATTAGTAATGAGTTGAGAAAATAATGAGTGATCACTTGTGCAATCATGACTGCAAACTCAATTAGGACAAGCTATTACAACACACATTTATTAATAAAATATTAATTGAAAAAAAAAAAGACTAGTAATATGTGCCTACATATTGGTTTATTTAAACATTTTATAGCATACAATATAGACCTATGTCACGCTGGGACTTTAGTGACCATGTGATTACGTAATTAATTACGCCATGGTGTGAAAGAATTATTGAGTTTGTTTACATGGCGCCATTTTCAACTGAAAATGTCATTTATTTTGGGTTTTGCATTTTAGCTGTTCATATACAAGACAACTGCATATTGGTGGCTTGAAAAATTTGTCACTTTCATCAATCCATGTGAACGGGGATCGATTTGATGATGTTGTTGTCTGTACACAAAACTCAAGAACACAAAGGAAAAACTTTTCAGTTTTTAGTAGTCATTTTCATGTAAATATACCCTGAATCATTTTTAATTAATTTTCTTTTTTTACCCGTTCCTTAAAGCAAACGCTAAGTGTAAACGAGTCAAACGTTCCATCCCTTCTATACAGAGGCAGCTGTTTGTAAGCCGTTGCTGCATCACTTGTGTCATTAAATGGAAAGATGTTTCCAAACAAGTTTCCTAAGCATACTGGTAGCCCCGCCCCCACTTGATTCAAGTTTTCTGCCTAGATTTGTCCGTAACAGACAGATGTTTTGTTTTGTTGGTATTTCAAAGTTATAAAGAAGAACAAACAAGACAGTCATTGTTTATGATTTGTGATACCTGTTAAAATAAACAGCTAGTAAATAAATGCTTACGGTTTTGCTCTTACTATCCAACCAAACTTATACTATCTTGATTGTTGTGACTGATTTCGTCGATTTTTGAGTAAAGTTAAAACTCCTAATAAAAAAAATAAATAAATAAAATGCAGCTTTGCTGAATGAGTTTATATTGTATGTATTGACTGTTTTGCATAACTGCATTTTAGTTACAAATGAAAATCATTCATTCATTATATTTACTACTAACTGTATTGCTTATCGTATGCATTACTTATTGCGTGTAGTGACTCAGGAAGCATGTCACTACATTTAATTTCACTATAACCATATCGAAGACATATTTTCTCTCTCTCACTCACTCACACACACACACACACAAAAAAAATGCATTTCTTATGGGATGCCTGATTAAATTCCTATCTCTTTCTCAATACTCTCCTGTTATTCTGCACTTTGCTTTCCATAAAGACAAAATGCCGATAGATAATATATATTTAGAACTCATGCATGGAACTGCTTGTTCCATGTGCTCAATATAACGGGGAAATGCATTTACAGTTGTGTTATACTGACATTATGACACCCCAGGAACGGGCCATGTATCCATGGCAACCACATGCCCGAGGTGTTGATGGGAACCTCAGCAAATACAGTGACTCATCCTGTGTGTGTGAGAACAATTAGTTAATGAATATGTTTCTGATGTTCGCTCATTTCTGCGGTCACTTGGCTGCATTTTGTGGTGACTGCAGTGACTCAAAGCAGAAGTTGTCTGGGAAAGACACAGGGACACTGACATTCAGATGGGTTACATAAGGTGTATTAATAGAGCAGTGGGGTTGTGTTAGCACCCCTCCAGCTCTTCCACCGCTGTTCTCTCACTGTTAAATCCTCTCCGAGTGGGAAAAAAACATCATAAATTGAAGTTTACAGAAGCCTGGAACAGATAGACAGCGGCTGTAAGAACCAGAGTACAAAAAGAGCCTCAAATAATTGAAAGAAAAAAACTTTGATGACTTTAATAAAAGGACTTTTTCTAGAGTGCACTCTTGTGTGGTGTGTGTTACATAGGTCTGCATTTTATCTCCATTGGAATACTGTATCGGTACCGTGGCTCAGTATTTGATATTTAACATGGTACAGAAATTAATTGAAATTGTACTTTCAAGAATACCATTGTATTACTGCGGTGCACTACCGTTCAAAAGTTCTGTAAGATTTTTTTAAATGTTGAATGTTAAATGTTAAGTAAAAAAAAGTTTCTTATGCTTATGTTCATTATGCTCATTTTAAAATGTGATTTATTCCTGTCATGCAAAGCTGAATTTCGACAGCCTTTACTCCAGTCTTCAGTGCCATGTTAGACATAATTCTAACATTTATATTATTATCAATGTTGAAAAAAGTTGTGCTGCTTTAATATTTTTACGGAAACCGTGATACATTTTTCCAAGATTCTTTGATGAAAATTCAAATGAAAAACATTGATTTGAAATGTCAAAATGTCAAAATCTTTACTGTCACTTTTGGTTAATCCAGTGCTTCTTCACTGAATAAAATTATTAATTTCTTTAAAATCTGCAAAGTTTTGAACGATGCCCAAAAATAATACCATAGTTCTTTTTAGAGGTATTTTGCGAAAACCTCCTCTATATTACAGAAATGTTTACAATGTGAAATGATTCTTCGGGAAATAATTTTGGGCCTAATATGCTAATCAAGTGCCAAAATGTCAGGGTTTACAGATTATTTATGCCGTTCATGGCCAAAGTTCAGGTCAACTTAATGTCAGTTACGATCCCACTGGTATTTATAGAGCGCTGCTGATTTATTAGTAGTGCATACAGTGGCTGTAATGATATGGGTAACTGAGTGGAGATACTTCCTTTTGTTTATTATATTACCATCTATATTACAGTCAAGTGTATGGCCTGTCAAGATGCCATATCCCGTGTGAAACTAGACCATTACGTTGCTGCAAGAATTGAGTATGTAACCTATGGCACTTACATTTCATTTGTAAATTCTCTACAATGCTTTGCATGTGGTAAAATGTTTTGATAGGCAGAGTGAACCGATGATAGTACGCTTTAACCCTTAATAAATGCTGCAATGCAGCCAGTTTTATGAGTGACCTATTCATGTGTCACTAGCTTTAATATTTTTACGGAAACCGTGATACATTTTTCCAAGATTCTTTGATGAAAATTCAAATGAAAAACATTGATTTGAAATGTAAAAATGTCAAAATCTTTACTGTCACTTTTGGTTAATCCAATGCTTCTTCACTGAATAAAAGTATTAATTTTTTAAAAATCTGCAAAGTTTTGAACAATGCCCAAAAATAATACCATAGTTCTTTTTAGAGGTATTTTGCGAAACCTCCTCTATATTACGGAATTTTTTACAATGTGAAATGATTCTTCGGGAAATAATTTTGGGCCTAATATGCTAATCAAGTGCCAAAATGTCAGGGCTTACAGATTATTTATGCCGTTCATGGCCAAAGTTCAGGTCAACTTAATGTCAGTTACGATCCCACTGGTATTTATAGAGCGCTGCTGATTTATTAGTAGTGCATACAGTGGCTGTAATGATATGGGTAACTGAGTGGAGATACTTCCTTTTGTTTATTATATTACCATCTATATTACAGTCAAGTGTATGGCCTGTCAAGATGCCATATCCCGTGTGAAACTAGACCATTACGTTGCTGCTAGAATTGAGTATGTAACCTATGGCACTTACATTTCATTTGTAAATTCTCTACAATGCTTTGCATGTGGTAAAATGTTTTGATAGGCAGAGTGAACCGATGATAGTACGCTTTAACCCTTAATAAATGCTGCAATGCAGCCAGTTTTATGAGTGACCTATTCATGTGTCACTAACCCAGCTGAGGTCACTGGTATTATAGTGTCTTACATAAGATAAGATCCTTAGAAGTACTTCTTGGAATTTCAGAGGCCCAAAGGCTCCAGGCATTCGAATAGAGAAACATACGAGGAATGGACGTGGATTGAGGACCAAAAATACATAAATATAGTCCATATGAAACGACTAAAGCTATATGAAAAATCATGATAAAATTGTACACGTAGTGTTTAATCATTTTAATTGAGTCCTGTAGGATGGATGAGATCATTTCTCTTTGTCTTTGCTGCACACATGGCATGCATGTGAGACTTTTTCTCTGTTCTTGATTTATTACATTGGTTCGCTGTGTTTGCAACTTTAGGTTATTTGTAACACCAACCTTTGGAAAATCAGAAATGTCCCTATCAGCTCTTGGAAAATGTTCTCCAAATGACTAGAGATCTCCCTGACTTAGCATTTGATGGATTTGTAGGATGCATTTAAGGATGTGGAAGGAGCTGTGCCAAGCGAATTGCAAATAGGAATCGCCTACATTGGGGAGATTATTGGGTTTCAGTCTAAGAGGGATTCAGCCGTATGCCTGAACATGAGCTAATGTGGCTCAGTGGAGCACAAAGTGCCAGAGGTCAGAAGTTCAGGAGTTTTTGCTCGGCTGAACATTATTTATCTATTTATGAATTAAACTAAGTATGTTTGACCGTAGAGTAAATGTTAGGAGTATCAGTAACTGGTGGATTTTGTAGCATCCCATGCTGGAAATTTCTGCCCTGTGTCAGTTGGGCTAGGTAGTGGTACATAGTCAAGTTCAAGACACGGATGCATGCGTATAGAACAGCCACAGGCTCAGCGCCTTCCTACTTCCATTCACTCTTATGAGTCTACATCCCCTCCAGAAGCCTGAGGACGGTCACTGAGCAACACCTCATGGTAGCATTACAGAGAGGCACACTCTTCCTTTCTAGTATATGTATATTTTGTTTGTTTATATTATCTGGTATGTATATCAGTGTAGTATATGTTGTGTCATAGTGTAAGTGCTCTGTGAAAAAGGTGACTTGTCAGACTTCCAGAAATGACAAACCATGAGAGACTGTTTAGCAGGAGCATCTGTAAAGTTAACAGACCAGTTGTTTGGTGTTTTCTAAACAACAGTCTTTACTATTATGATTGTGTACACAAAGCATGGCAAGACTAAACCAAATAAATGTATGTATGTATGCATGTATGTATGTTATACCAAAATATAATATGGATCTTTGAACACTGAGAAGGATTGTGACCAAACAAAGTTACAGCAAACCTCAGTATTCACCTTGCAGCCTAATTATTAAAAAAAAAACACTACAGACAACTTCACAAAGCCAACAAGATGATGTCATGATGAACTTCAACATAAACTACTTTGGGCAGTATTGGGGAGAAGAGTGAGAAGCAGATTCAATCCTTTAACATCTCTGAAGCAACTGGCAGATATTCTGATAGATGACCCACAACTGGAGACTATTCAAGTTATATTTATATGCTGCCAAAACTGCTCCGATGCACATGATGCACGTCCCAAATGCTCAATCGGATTGAGATCTGGGGAATTTGGAGGCCAAGGTAACACCTTAAACTCTTTTTTCATGTTCCTCAAACAATTCCTGAACAATATTTGCAGTGTGGCAGGGTACATTATCCTGCTGTAAGAGGCCACTGCTTTCAGGGAGCACCACTGCCATTAAGGCACATATGTGGTCTGCAACCATCCTTAAGTGGGTGTCAAAGTAACATCCTCATGAATGCCAGGACCCAGGGTTTCCCAGCAGAACACTGATTGGGTATAACACTAAATCCGCTGGTCTGCATTTTCCCATAGTGTATCCTGCTGCCAGGTAAACAACACATATGCACCCAGGCAGGCCATCCACTTGATCTAAAAGAAAACATAATTCATCAAACCAAGCAACCTTCTTCCATTGCTGCATTGGGACAAAGGCACTTTTTGGGCACCTGTGACACTGACGCTGGTTCATCAGTTGGTGTTCCATGCACCACTTTTTTAGGTACTAACCACTGCATACCAGAAACGCCATATAAGACTTGCCGGTTGGGAGATGATCTAACTCCGTTGTCTAGCCATCATTATTTGACCCCAGTCAAACAGTGCGTTCCAAATGGGATATATCACCCTCCGAAGGGCACATCGGGGTGAAAACAATCATGGCATCCATATTGAAGGGTTGTTCCAAACCGAAGTGCTCAAAACTGGCCACTTCAAAGGGCCCTTCGGAATGAAGGATTTCGAAGAGTACAATTTATGGACACTTCGGGCCCCCATGATCCTTTGCGCTGCTTCTTTTCATGATGATGGCGCCTCCATGTGGGCATAGGATGATGACGCAAAATGACACTTCAAGAAAGGGTCCCCTACACCCTTCAACCCTTCAAAGCTCGCACTCCGAAGGGTAAACCATTTGAAGGGATTAGGGCATAGGGATGAGCCCTTCCGAATGGAACGCAGGGAAAGTCACTCAGATATTTTCGCTTAACCACTTTTCATGCTTCCATCACATGAAATTCAAGAATGGACTGTTCACTTGCTGCTTAATATATCCCACTTCTTGACAGGTGCCATTATAACGATATAATCAATGTTGTTTACTTCACCTGTCAGTGGTTTTAAAGGGTTAGTTCACCCAAAAATGAAAATTAGCCCACAAATTACTCACCCTCAAGTCATCCTAGGTGTATATGACTTTCTTCTTTCAGACGAATCCAGTCGGAGTTATATAAAAAATTGTCTTTGATCTTTCAAGCTGTTTAATGCCACTCAGCGGGTGTTGCATGCATCAGTTCAAAAGAAGTTAAATAAAAAGCGCCCATCCATAAAAAAAAATTTCTCACACGGCTCCGGGGGGTGAACAAGGACCTCCTGTAGTGAATCGATGCGTTTTTGTAAGAAAAATATCCATATTCACAATGTAATAATCCCTTTAATGTAGCTTGCATGCAACACCCGCTGAGTGGCATTAAACAGCTTGAAAGATCAAAGACAATTTTTAATATAACTCCGACTGGATTCGTCTGAAAGAAGAAAGTCATATACACCTAGGATGACTTGAGGGTGAGTAATTTGTGGGCTAATTTTCATTTTTGGGCGAACTAACCCTTTAATGTTTTAAGCCCTAAACAGTAAACGTGCTGCACGATTTTCGGCATTCCCAGACGAAAGACTGGCATCGTGAAACAGTCGTAGCGATTTCTGTGATCGTGGCTCCTAATCGGTGGTCCTGTGCCGTACAGTGAGAGAGGTTCAAAGACGGCCGTTGTCACGGTCTTGCGACCAAAGATAGCCTACGATGCAGCATGATCATCGCACAGTGTGTTTGCTGCTACGATCCACGTTTACTGACCAACCAATAAAAATGCGACATGAAATCAATGCGACATGGCGCTAAAACATAAATCTGCTTACCTCAAGCTCTTATCCCTTCCTCTTTTGTCGCTTCCACTTTTTTTCAGCACACATAAAAAATACAACTGCTAAGGTGTCATTTATCATGCTCTTTTTTTTTATATTACCACTAGCGTATGCTGATGACATTTTATTCTTCTATAGAAACGTACTTCATAGCGTACGAGTCGATAGATTTCATCATCATACAGTCTACACACGTCAAAGCCAAGTTTATTGGATCCATGTTGCACAGTGCCATGCAGTGATCTTATAGGATTGCTAAAATCGTGCAGTGTGTTTTGGGCTTTATCTGATCTGTGTGTGTCCGTGTATAGATCACAGTAATCACATAATTTCGACATCCAAGTGAAAGATTCAGTCCATTGGGCCTACAGGACGAATAAGTAGCATTTTATTAAATGTTACAAAGACAAACATATTTATTTCTCCACAATAAAGTCTACCAATTAATTGTTCAATAAAACTAGGTAGGCACATTTATAAAGTAAAAAAAAATTATGCAAAAACATCTGCTGGTGGGAGAGCATTTTGTTTTTGAGCTCCCCAGCTGTGATATGGCCTCCCTTCTTACTCCAGGGGAGTTCATCCCGATTACTGGCATCAGACACACTCCCAAGTGTATATTACAACATTCCTGTCCACTCAAGCATTCAGCTAGCTCAGTGTATGCGTATACACTCAAACATAATTGGACTAGACTAGGTATCAAAGATATTAGTTTTGGTGAAATACGATGCAGATGTCGTTGACCACTGCATGCATGTGATTTCTCTATAGCAACACTGTCAATGTTTAAATGTAGATGTGATTTAATGTTGAATCAATGTCAAGTGTAAGTGTTTTAATTGAAATGTAATCAGCTAAATTTTGTTGCAGGTTTGTTGCAGGATGCAGTTGAAAAAAATCTAAATATTTAAATGTTATGTTATCATGTTCCAGTAAGAACATCAGTCTTTATTGAAATTAAAAGCAAACTGTAAATTAGAAGGAAGTGTCTAGATACATTTGACCGTGTAGTATTGTGTAAATGCATATCTCTTTGATGATTTTGTTGTTTTGTTTTTGTTCTGTCATGTTTTCTTTAGTTGTCATGTTTTGTTTTGTTTTTTGCTTTGCAATATTTTGTTTTTGTTCTGTTCTGTCATGTTTTTATTTAGTGGTCATGTCATGTTTTTTGTTTTATTTATTTTTTATTTATGTGTTTATTTTCTTGGTTTTGTTTTGCTTTTTTGCTTTGTATTGTTTTGTTTTTGTTTCTGTTCTACCATGTCTTGTTTTGTTTTGTTTGAGTTAAATTGCCAAGTCTAAGTGTCTCATTATTTGTTTATAGAAATACTTATTAGTGAATTGACAGTACAGGAGAATAAAGAAATGTTGTTTTTTTCATCATTTCAGATGCATCTTCCACAGAGCAGCATGAGCTGTTCATGCAGAAACTACAGCAGTGCTGCGTAATGTTCGACTTTTATGACACAGTGACTGACCTAAAGAGCAAAGAGACCAAACGGGCCACTCTCAGTGAACTTGTGGATTATGTGTCCACTAACAGAGGAGTTCTGGTAGATCCTGTCTATCCTGAAATCAGCACCATGGTCAGCATTCATGTGATGTTCACCAAATCATTTATTTGTTTTTAGCAAAAATAGAAATCTCTTCCTTATTGTCAAAGTAAACTCCAAATCCTTTCTGTTTACAGGTTAGCACAAATATTTTCAGAACGCTTCCACCCAGTGAAAACCCTGACTTTGACCCAGAAGAAGATGAACCCACTCTAGAAGCCTCCTGGCCACACATGCAGGTCAGCTCTCACATTTTATAGTTCATTGTTTGCTTATTTACAATGTATTTTTTAATGTACTAATATATTTAATTAACTTTATGCACAGCACAGCATGTGAATAAATTAAACAAGTCTTACAACAAAAAACAGCATTTTGTTAAGGCTATAGGGAGTGTATTGTGTATGTATTTATTTATTTAAGCAAGTTATATGTTCTAATATTGTTTCTACGTGTGTAAAGCATTAGAAAAACATTAAATATTGTCTTTTGTTTCTTTTTTTTCCCTTTTTTTTTTTTCAGTTGGTGTATGAGTTTTTCCTTCGATTCCTAGAAAATCCAGACTTCCAGCCAAGTACTGCCAAACGTTATATTGACCAGAAGTTTGTGCTACAGGTATATGAACTTTGTATTAATTAATTTCAATTCTATAAATTTAATATACATTTTTTTTTTAAATAATTCATATTATTTTTCAGAAAATTATTCTTTGTGAATATTAGTAATTAGTATTGTTCTTTTGTACTTACTATTTTTCTTGGCATTTGCTATTTTATTTTAAAGCAGCATAATCCTATTGCATAAAATATTAAAATATATATTTTTTAAAAATTAAAGTTTGTTTGTTGTTGTTGTTTTAATCATACATTTTAACTGTTTAGTGGTAGTTATCCCTAAAACACACCAATTTGGTATCCTCTGGCATAAATGGGGACTAAAAGAAAAGAAAAACAAGTTCTTATCTGACACAGTTTTGGTTCTGAAGTTAATTTGTCCTGTTTTAAGGATTTTTAGAAATATTGAATTAAGAAAATACTGATTAATAAAATGCATTTTTTAGGAGACTACTTTAATAGCAAAAATATTTAATATCCCTTCCCCGACTTACAGCTGAAGTGGTAAATATTTCGAAATATGAAATTATACGCTTGCTAGGCCTGGTCTCTTCCTCTTTTGGATCTGCCTCAGTCAGTGTCTGTTCCTGCGTGAAGCAGTGGGTCATCAGCTGTCCGTATCGACCCGGTCATTCCCCCTGAGCGCACTGAATGCTCTGGAATTTAGAGTCAGTGCAGAAGCTGATAAAAGCGAGTTTCCATGATGCTAGCGTTTCCTGGGCTTCTCTAAATAGCGCCCTGTTGTTTACGCCACAGGAAGGAAAGAGGCAGCACTGTAGTCCAGGCTGGGATGGAGAACATAATGACAGACAGCAGACACAACACAAAAAGAGTCGTAGTAGAGATGTGGTAGAGAGTGTTACTGCATGCCTGTTGTTTTTTGCATTATTTTTCCATTTGGAGACGCTGTTGTACAGAAATTATACATTTAAGCTTTAAGATTTTGAAAACGTAAAAAAAAAGTTGCAAAAAAAATGCATTTACAACCCATTGTGGTGTATTTTTGAACAGAGCATGATACTTACCAAGATGGTACTTCTGATGGTATCTATCTATCTATCTATCTATCTATCTATCATCTGTCTGTCTGTCTGTCTGTCTATCATCTGTCTGTCTGTCTGTCTATCTATCATCTGTCTGTCTGTCTGTCTATCTATCATCTGTCTGTCTGTCTGTCTATCTATCATCTGTCTGTCTGTCTGTCTATCTATCATCTGTCTGTCTGTCTGTCTGTCTATCTGTCTACCGTCCGTCCATCAAAATATATAATATATTTTGTCCTAATGATAGGTGACCACTTAACTGGTTGAATTAATTAAATTCCCATTTGAAAGTGCTTTATTTTAGGGTGATAAAGCTATGGTCAGCTGGTCTTTTATTCCATCTTATTCATAGTCATCTATTGAAATAAGCCCTGCATGTGGAGGATGAGCAATTTTAATCCTGTTTAAATTTGGATTTAGAGTTACTAATGTTTTAGACATCATTAACGGTGTCATGAATGTGATTGAGGTTGGACTCATTTACTAATAATGTCATGTTGCATAAAGGCTGTTGACAAATACATCACTCGTGGCAGGGATTCATTGTCTGGAGGCTAAGGGTAGCATTACATAACGCAGTCCTGTGCAGACAATCTAATGACGCTGCCAGATCAAACCATTCCATAAAACCTTCCATTAAAGGAGCACTCCACTATTTTTGAAAATAGGCATATGAAAAAACATTTTCCAACTCGCCTAGAGTTAAACAGTTGAGTTTTACCGTTTTCGAATCCTTTCAGCCGATCTCCGGGTCTGGCGGTAGCACTATTAGCTGTAGCTTAGCATAGATCATTGAATCTGATTAGACCGTTAGCATCTCGTTCAAAAATGACCAAAGAGTTTCTATATTTTTCCTATTTAAAACTGGACACTTCTGTGGTTACATTGTGTACTAAGACCGACGGAAAATGAAAAGAAAGCGATTTTCTAGGCCGATATGGCTAGGAACTATACTCTCATTCCGGCGTAATAATCAAGGAATTTTGCTGCAGTACCATGGGTGCAGCAGGCGCAATGATATTACGCAGCGCCTGAAAATAGGCTAACTTCCGTCAACATAACCAACGTGGCCACCTGCTTGCACAGGGAGCTTGCTGGGGACTATTTTCAGGCGCTGCGTAATATCATTGCGCCTGCTGCACCCATGGTACGGCAGGAAAGTTCCTTGATTATTACGCCGGAATGAGAGTATAGTTCCTAGCCATATATAATATTTCACAGTATTACTGTTTTTACTGTATTTTTGGTCAAATAAATACAGCTTTAGTGAGCAAAGAGACTTCTTTCAAAAACATTTGAATAAAATCTTACCAAACACAAACATTTTAACTGTAGTTTGTGTCTGCATTTTTTGTCATTCTTACATGGCTTTGTAATCTTTATGTAAAAATTGTTTTTGCATGTCAAAGTAAGGCAAATGTGACACTGGACCACAAAACCAGTCTTAAGTAGCATGGGTATATTTGCAGCAATAGCCAACAATACATTGTATGGGTCAAAATTAACAATTTTTCTTTTATGCCAAAAATCATTAGGATATTAAGTAAAGATCATGTTCCATGAAGATATTTTGTACATTTCCTACCGTAAATTAGGGGTGT